ATCTCGATTTACCAGTCATGTGTGTTTTGTGTCGCTAATGTTTGTTTCTCTTACCTTACTGTGGCAGTGATGTTACAGTGATGTTACAGTGATGTTACGGTGATGTTACCGTGATGTTGCAGTGATGTTACAGTGATGTTACGGTGATGTTGCAGTGATGTTACAGTTATGTTACGGTGATGTTACAGTGATGTTGCAGTGATGTTACAGTGATGTTAGTGTTGTTGCAGTGATGTTAGTGTTGTTGCAGTGATGTTACGGTGATGTTGCAATGATGTTGCATTGATGTTACATTGATGTTACGGTGATGTTACAGTTATGTTGCAGTGATGTTAGTGTTGTTGCAGTGGTGTTACAGTGATGTTACAGTGATGTTACATTGATGTTACAGTGATGTTGCAGTGATGTTACAGTGATGTTACGGTGATGTTGCAGTGATGTTGCAGTGATGTTACAGTGATGTTACGGTGATGTTACGGTGATGTTACAGTGATGTTGCAGTGATGTTAGTGTTGTTGCAGTGATGTTACAGTGATGTTACAGTGATGTTACATTGATGTTACAGTGATGTTGCAATGATGTTAGTGTTGTTGCAGTGATGTTACAGTGATGTTACAGTGATGTTATAGTGATGTTGCAGTGATGTTAGTGTTGTTGCAGTGATGTTACAGTGATGTTACAGTGATGTTACAGTGATGTTGCAATGATGTTAGTGTTGTTGCAGTGATGTTACAGTGATGTTACATTGATGTTACAGTGATGTTACAGTGATGTTACAGTGATGTTACATTGATGTTACAGTGATATTGCAGTGATGTTAGTGTTGTTGCAGTGATGTTACAGTGATGTTACAGTGATGTTACAGTGATGTTGCAATGAAGTTAGTGTTGTTGCAGTGATGTTACAGTGATGTTACATTGATGTTACAGTGATGTTACAGTGATGTTGCAGTGATGTTGCAGTGATGTTGCAGTGATGTTGCAGCCATATTACAGTGATGTTACAGTTATGTTACAGTGATGTTGCAGTGATGTTGCAGTGATGTTGCAGTGATGTTGCAGCCATATTACAGTGATGTTACAGTTATGTTACAGTGATGTTGCAGTGATGTTGCAGTGATGTTGCAGTGATGTTGCAGCCATATTACAGTGATGTTACAGTGATGTTACAGTGATGTTGCAGTGATGTTGCAGTGATGTTGCAGTGATGTTGCAGCCATATTACAGTGATGTTACAGTGATGTTACAGTGATGTTAGTGTTGCTGCAGTGATGTTACAGTGATGTTACAGTGACGTTACAGTGATGTTAGTGTTGTTGCAGTGATGTTACAGTGATGTTACAGTGATGTTACAGTGATGTTACAGTGATGTTGCAGTGATGTTACAGTGATGTTGCAGCCATATTACAGTGATGTTACAGTGTTGTTGCAGTGATGTTACAGTGATGTTGCAGTGATGTTACAGTGATGTTGCAGTGATGTTACAGTGATGTTGCAGTGATGTTACAGTGATGTTACAGTGATGTTACAGTGATGTTACAGTGATGTTACAGTGATGTTACAGTAATGTTACAGTGATGTTACAGTGATGTTACAGTGATGTTACAGTGATGTTACAGTGATGTTACAGTGATGTTACAGTGATGTTACAGTGATGTTAAAGTGACGTTGCAGTGATGTTACAGTGATGTTACAGTGATGTTACAGTGATGTTACAGTAATGTTACAGTGATGTTACAGTGATGTTACAGTGATGTTACAGTGATGTTACAGTGATGTTACAGTGATGTTACAGTGATGTTACAGTGATGTTAAAGTGACGTTGCAGTGATGTTACAGTGGTGTTACAGTGATGTTACAGTGATGTTAGTGTTGTTGCAGTGATGTTACAGTGATGTTACAGTGATGTTACAGTGATGTTGCAGCCATATTACAGTGATGTTACAGTGATGTTACAGTAATGTTACAGTGATGTTACAGTGATGTTACAGTGATGTTACAGTGATGTTACAGTGATGTTAAAGTGACGTTGCAGTGATGTTACAGTGATGTTACAGTGATGTTACAGTGATGTTACAGTGATGTTACAGTGATGTTAGTGTTGTTGCAGTGATGTTACAGTGATGTTACAGTGATGTTACAGTGATGTTACAGTGATGTTAGTGTTGTTGCAGTGATGTTACAGTGATGTTACAGTGATGTTGCAGTGATGTTACAGTGATGTTGCAGCCATATTACAGTGATGTTACAGTGATGTTACAGTTATGTTACAGTGATGTTACAGTGATGTTACAGTGATGTTACAGTGATGTTACAGTTATGTTACAGTGATGTTACAGTGATGTTACTTAAGTAGACTTCTATATTCCACTGTAATAATAATAATAATAATAATAATAATAATAATAATAATAATATAATAATAATAATAATAATAATAATAATAATAATAATAATAATAATAATAATAATAATAATAACAAACAACAATAATAATAATAATAATAATAATAATAATAATAATAAATAATAATAATAACAATAATAATAATAATAATAATAATAATAATAATAATAATAATAATAACAATAATAATAATAATAATAATAATAATAATAATAATAATAATAATAATAGTAATAATAATAATAATAATAATAATAATAATAATAATAATAATAATAATATAATAATAATAATAATAATAATAATAATAATAATAATAATAATAATAGTAAATAATAATATAATAATAATAATAATAATAATAAAAAATAATAATAATAATAATAATAATAATAACAGCAGTAACAACAACAATAATATACACGTATCCCATTGTAACCTCTAAATTCTCCCCGAAATTACCAATTATTAATGTTATTACCAATTATTTTTTCACGTTGTTCAGCACTGCTCTTAAATACTCAGCTCTTTCTCTCACACACTGAATTTACTCTCAAAATTACATCCACAAACATTATTCATTTCTGCTCTTGGAATTATATTTTTTTCACTTTTCAAAACCATCGATGTCCCAAGGGGATACATATACACTCGAGAGGTGTATGTTTCTCAATGTATATACACTGAGGGATATACTTAAGCATTATCTTTCGATGTATATACACTGAGAGAGATATTTAACCCATGTCTCTCAATGTATATACACTGAGAGATACATTTAACCCATGTCTCTCGATGTATATACACTGAGAGATACATTTAACCCATGTGTCTCAATGTATATACACTGAGAGATACATTTAACCCATGTCTCTCAATGTATATACACTGAGAGATACATTTAACCCATGTCTCTCGATGTATATACACTGAGAGAGATATTTAACCCATGTCTCTCAATGTATATACACTGAGAGATGCATTTAACCCATGTCTCTCGATGTATATACACTGAGAGTACATTTAACCCATGTCTCTCAATGTATATACACTGAGAGATACATTTAACCCATGTCTCTCGATGTAATACACTGAGAGAGATATTTAACCCATGTCTCTCAATGTATATACACTGAGAGATGCATTTAACCCATGTCTCTCGATGTATATACACTGAGAGATACATTTAACCCATGTGTCTCAATGTATATACACTGAGAGATACATTTAACCCATGTCTCTCAATGTATATACACCGAGATATATATTTAACCCGTATCCCTCAATGTATATACACTGAGAGATATACTTAACCCATATACATTACTAAAGCGTAATTAAAACTTATTGATAATTAATAATAGCCAACATGGAGACAGAAACACAAGAGTTTAATTGATCTGTGTATTTCGATCCCCTTCTGGGAACCTCTTCATATACTGTGTTAAAAAATTCTTGACTGGTGGTGAACAGGTGACATGCAGCCTTAATGACCCTCGTGTAGTCGATAGGCTTCAAACCTAATTAAGCAGGTCATGTCAATTATCGTGAATATAAATGTTGCTTCATACCTTCGTAAATCAATTTCTAACCACTGGGTTGTTTTATTGATTTTTTTTTCTAGTTGATTACCTGTCATCCAACAGAAGACCTGAGGGCCAGAAGACCTGAGGGCCAGAACACCTGTGGGCCAGAACACCTGAGGACAAGAAGACCTGAGGGCCAGAAGACCTGAGGGCCAGAAGACCTGAAGGCCAGAAGACCTGAGGGCCAGAAGACCTGAGGGCCAGAAGACCTGAGGGCCAGAAGACCTGAAGGCCAGAAGACCTGAGGACAAGAAGACCTGAGGGCCAGAAGACCTGAGGGCCAGAAGACCTGAGGGCCAGAAGACCTGAAGGCCAGAAGACCTGAGGACAAGAAGACCTGAGGGCCAAAAGACCTGAGGGCCAGAAGACCTGAGAGCCAGAAGACCTGAGGGCCAGAAGACCCGAGGACCAGAAGACCTGAGGGCCAGAAGACCTGAGGGCCAGAAGACCTGAGGGCAAGAAGACCTGAGGGCCAGAAGACCTGAGGGCCAGAACACCTGTGGGCCAGAACACCTGAGGGCCAGAACTCCTGAGGGCCAGAAGACCCGAGGACCAGAAGACCTGAGGGCCAGAAGACCTGAAGGCCAGAAGACCTGAGGGCCAGAGCACCTGAGAGCCAGAAGACCTGAGGGCCAGAAGACCTGAAGGCCAGAAGACCTGAGGGCCAGAGCACCTGAGAGCCAGAAGACCTGAGGGCCAGAGCACCTGAGAGCCAGAAGACCTGAGGGCCAGAAGACCTAAGGGCCAGAAGACCTGAGGGCCAGAAGACCTGAGGGCCAGAGCACCTGAGAGCCAGAAGACCTGAGGGCCAGAAGACCTAAGGGCCAGAAGACCTGAGGGCCAGAAGACCTGAGGGCCAGAAGACCTGAGGGCCAGAAGACCTGAGGGCCAGAAGACCTGAGGGCCAGAGCACCTGAGAGCCAGAAGACCTGAGGGCCAGAAGACCTGAGGGCCAGAAGACCTGAGGGCCAGAAGACCTGAGGGCCAGAGCACCTGAGAGCCAGAAGACCTGAGGGCTAGAGCACCTGAGAGTCAGAAAACCTGAGGTCCAGAACACCTGAGGGCCAGAGCACCTGAGAGTCAGAAGACCTGAGGGCAAGAAGACCTGAGGGTCAGAAGACCTGAGGGCCAGAAAACCTGAGGGCCAGAAGACCTGAGGGCCAGAAGACCTGAGGGCCAGAAGACCTGAGAGTCAGAAGACCTGAGAAATAACTACAAGCGAGTTACTGACCAGTGGAGGTGCCGGGGATCGAACCCGGGGCCTCTTACATGCAAAGCAAGCGCTCTACCACTGAGAGTCAGAAGACCTGAGGACCAGAAGACCTGAGAGCCAGAAGACCTGAGGGCCAGAAGACCTGAGGGCCAGAACACCTGAGGGAAGAATACCTGAGGGCCAGAATATCTTCCATATTTGCCACTAAAGGTAAGTTATTTCTTCTTCTTCTTCTTCTTCTTCTTCTTCTTCTTCTTCTTCTTCTTCTTCTTCTTCTTCTTCTTCTTCTTCTTCTTCTTCTTCTTCTTCTTCTTCTTCTTCTTCTCCTCCTCCTCCTCCTCCTCCTTCTCCTCCTCCTCCTTCTCCTCCTCCTCCTTCTCCTCCTCCTCCTTCTTCTACTTAACAACAGTAACAACTGCAACAATAACAACAGTAAAAGCAACAACAATAACGACAGTAATAACAGCAGTGACACCAACAACATACACAACAATAACAACAAAAACAACTCTGTCGTTGGTGATGTTTTATTTGTCAGGAAACAAGACAAAACCTGTCCCGTACCACGGGTCTTGGTCATATACTGACCCACTGACCGGTCATACTGCCCAAATAACCGTAGTATCTCTCAGTACCATCAACCTTACTTACATCATTGCCAACCTCTACACTTCTGTATCGCAGATAATGGTATAAAATACGAACAAGTCTGCTGCGCAGGCGATATGTTTCGACACTAAAGATACCTAACTGTTGCACATGTGTCTTACTTAGCAACTTCTTAGTTATGTTACGTTCAAAGAGTGTTTATGCTGCCATGGGTGACCCCGTGGACTGGCTGGTAAAGCTCTCGCTGCACACACGCAGGGCCCGGGTTCGATTCCCGGCGGGGTAGAAGCATTACGACGCTTTTCCTTACACTTGTTGTCCTGTTCACATAGCAGCAAATAGGTACCTGGGTGTTAATCGACTGGTGTGGGTCGCATCCTGGGGGACAAGATTGAGGACTCCCAAGGAAATTAGTCAGACAGTCCTCGATGACGCACTGACTTTCTTGGGTTATCCCGGGTGGCTAACCCTCCGGGGTTAAAAATCCGAACGAAATATTATCTTATCTTATCCTCCTCTATACTCACTTTACGTTCCTTTCCTTTCTTCTCCGACAGGAAGCGCGTCTGTCTAGCGTTGAGCAGATGGAGGATCGAGCCTCCAGCACATCTTGCTCTGAGTTTATCAAAAACATCCTGGGTTTGGTGGAGGTCAAAAAAAATTTACATGCGCATAATGCCTAGGACTGTAACAATACACATTAACCCGACGGATTTAAATGGACTAGGTTAGTTAGGTTTTAAAGGGGTAGGTTAAGTTATTAGGTTAGGTGGTAGTTAGGATAGGTTAGGTTAGGTTAGGTTAGGTTTAGGTTAGGTTAGGTTAGGCTAGGTTAGGTTAGGTTAGGTTAGGTTAGGTTAGGTTAGGTTAGGTTTTAGGCTAGGTTAGGTTAGGTTAGGTTAGGTTGGGTAGGTTAGGTTAGGTTAGGTTAGGTAGGTTAGGTGTTTAGGAGTTAGGTTAGGTTAGGTTAGGTTAGGTTAGGTTAGGTTAGGTTAGGTTAGGTTAGGGTTAGGTTAGGTTAGGTTAGGTTAGGTTAGGTTAGGTTAGGTTAGGTTAGGTTAGGCTAGGTTAGGTTAGGTTAGGTTAGGTTAGGTTAGGCTAGGTTAGGTTAGGTTAGGTTAGGTTAGGCTAGGTCTAGGTTAGGTTAGGTTAGGCTAGGTTAGGTTAGGTTAGGTTAGGTAGGTTAGGTTAGGTTAGGTTAGGTTAGGTTAGGTTAGGTTAGGTAGCTAGGTTAGGTTAGGTTAGGTTAGGTTAGGTTAGGTTAGGCTAGGTTAGGTTAGGTTAGGTTAGGTTAGGTTAGGTTAGGCTAGGTTAGGTTAGGTTAGGTTAGGTTAGGTTAGGTTAGGCTAGGTTAGGTTAGGTTAGGTTAGGTTAGGTTAGGTTAGGTTAGGTTAGGTTAGGCTAGGTTAGGTTAGGTTAGGTTAGGTTAGATTGATCAGGAAACAAAACAAGTGTTTCCTGACGCGGGTCTAAGTCGTATGATGACCCACAGCTGGAGCTTTTTGGTCATATGATAGAGGCCTTCCACTGGCTTACCAGTCCACTCTATTAAAAATTAAAGTTATAATTATTTATTATATTACACATAGCTAATGTCTAGTTAATGGTCCAGATAATGGTCTAGTTAATATCTAGTTAATGGTCCAGTTAATGATCTAGTTAATGGTCCAGTTAATGGTCTAGTTAATGTATAGTTAATGGTTCAGTTAATGGTCTAGTTAATGGTCTAGTTAATGTCGAGTTAAAGGTCCAGTTAATGGTTCAGTTAATGGTCTAGTTAATGATCCAGTTATTAATGATTCAGTTAATGGTCTAGTTAATGGTCTAGTGGTTCAGTTAATGGTCTAGTTAATGGTCCAGTTAATGGTTCAGTTAATGGTCTAGTTAATGGTCTAGTGGTTCAGTTAATGGTCTAGTTAATGGTCCAGTTAATGGTTCAGTTAATGGTCCAGTTAATGGTTCAGTTAATGGTCTAGTTAATGGCCCAGTTAATGATTCAGTTAATGGTCTAGTTAATGGTCCAGTTAATGATTCAGTTAATGGTCTAGTTAATGGTCCAGTTAATGGTTCAGTTAATGGTTCAGTTAATGGTCCAGTTAATGGCCTAGTTAATATATAGTTAATGGTCCAGTTAGTGGTCCAGTTAATGGTCTAGTTAATGGTCTAGTTAATGTCGAGTTAATGGTCCAGTTAATGGTTCAGTTAATGGTCTAGTTAATGGTCCAGTTAATGGCACAGTTAATGGTCTAGTTAATGGTCCAGTTAATGGTTCAGTTAATGGTCCAGTAAATGGTCCAGTTAATAGTCCAGTTAATGGTCCAGTAAATGATCCAGTTAATGGTCCAGTTAATGGTCCAGTAAATGGTCCAGTTAATGGTCCAGTTAATGGTCCAGTAAATGGTCCAGTTAATGGTCCAGTTAATGGTCGAGTAAATGGTCCAGTTAATGGTCCAGTTAATGGTCCAGTTAATGGTCCAGTTAATGGTCCAGTTAATGGTCTAGCTAATAGACAAAAACGTCAGAATAAATTTCACTCTCCTATGAGCGGGTTATTTGTAAATAGGCCTAAGGTCTAGGCAGTAAAGTTTTAAAAGCTCAGAAAGTTACAGCGGTAATGTTGGGATCCTCTCCAAGATACGATACTACGTGCCGCAAACTACCCTTATCACACTATACCATTCACTTATATATCCATACCTCACCTATGCTATTTGTGCTTGGGGATCAACTGCAGCAACACACCTAAAGCCAATAATAACCCAACAAAAAGCTGCAGTAAGAATAATCACTAAATCCCATCCCTGGCAACACCCCCCCCCCCCACTCTTCATAGATCTAAACTTACTCCCAGTTCAGTACATCCACACTTACTACTGTGCAATCTACATCTACAGGACCTTAAACTCCAATATCAACCTTGACCTAAAACGCTTTCTTGACAGTTGTGACAGAACCCACAGGCATAACACCAGACATAAACATCTCTACGACATTCCCCGTGTCCGACTAAACCTTTACAAAAATTCAATGTATGTCAAAGGCCCTAAAATCTGGAACACCCTACCTGAGAACTCTAGAACTGCAGACACATTCATCACCTTCAAAACTACCATCAGAAAACATCTTATCTCCCTGATACACCCCATCAACTAACTACACGAATACCACCTGGTGGTTCACACTTACACTCACTCACCAATTTGACCATAAACAGAAATATTAATCTCAATCTTAAAATAATGAATCCTGTGATACTCCAATACTGAAACTATGTACTGTGCCAAAACAAAAGCATTCATATTGCTAAACTCACAAACTAGTATTTAGTCACTTAGCCATAATACCAACTTACCTCATAATTTGTAATATTTTAAAATAAAGAATTAAACTAAGTCTGCCCGAAATCCCTAGCCATGCTAGGTGTTCTAGTGGTACACTCTGTAATCATTATTTAACTACATGTAAACCACACGACAACCAAATTCTGTAAATTCAATATTGTAATCTTTATAGAGAATAAACTTTGAATTTGAATTTGAATTTGAATTTGAATGAACTTACAAGTTCGTGATCTGGTTACAGTCGTAGTGAGTTCATAATACAGTTTGAATTCAGTCGCAATAAAAAAATTACAATGTAATTTGTAAATAGAGTTTATTTGCAAATAGTTTATTTGTAAACAGTTTATTTGTAGACAGTTTATTTGTAAACAGTTTATCTGTAAACAGAGTTTATTCCTACTTTACCGCCAATGAGGTCTACCAACCAGGAGGGTGTTCCGGGGGGTCAGCGCCCCCGCGGCCCGGTCCAGGACCATGCCTCCTGGTGGATCACATTTCTACAACTTATAATAAGTTACACTGCACAACTTTGTCAGTTTGGTTTAAACGTTCTGTTACGGTAGTTTACATGAAGTCTTGAATCGTACTCTGTTTTTAACAATTTAGTTGCAAAAACCAACGACATATAAATCTGGTATATAAATCTCGTCCTAGATGGAATCATCACGCTCTGGTGATTTCTTCCCTTCCCGTCTATTTCGCCGTTCATCACGTCTGTCAGTGACACATTTGTCGACACATTCACTCCCGGATTTCAACTTCAATAAACCTGCTTCTGTGCACCCTCCAATATGTCGTTCCATTTCATATTTCCCACTTTTTATTAACATTCTTGTTCTCTGTGAATTCATTTCCAACTGTTCATTGGGAGACGACCGACTTGTTGAAAAATATATATATATATATATATATATATATAATTATATATATATATATATATATATATATATATATATATATATATATATATATATATATATATAATATATATATATATATATATATATATATATATATAATATATATATATATATAATATATATTATATTATATATATATATATATATATATATATATATATTATATAATATATATATATTATATATATATATATTATATATATATATATATATTATTTAATATATTATATATGGTTGTTTCTTATTATGAATATCACGTTCCTGTGTTTAAACTATCGACATCGGCTCTTGTTTGTAATCGTTGTTGATGGTGTGTGAAGGTTGTTGACGATGGATCACCTCTCTCTCTCTCTCTCTGCAGGGTTGCGACAGTGATGGTGGGCCGCTACACGAGTCTCCCAGTCGAGGTAGCTTCTACTGTTCCTCGACGCTCCTTGTTCAGGGATTCCTGGGTGCGACACTCGTCTCAGCCGTCATTTCAGGGTGTTTCCTCTGCAATGGAGACTCTGGAGCCCACAGCCCTTGGTCCTCCTAGTGATCAGGGTGCCCAGGAGATTCCTGAACCTTCAGGGTTGACCCAGAGACCTGATACATCCCTCCTGAATAATCAGAATCCATTGGGTTCTTCAGAGCTCAGAGTTTCCACACTGAGACCTGATACAGGTATTCGATCTCCTAGTGATCAAGGTTCCATGGGTTTTTTGGGGCCATTGGGGTCCACATCGGGGCCAACCACAGGTCTCCGTCCAGCGAATGACCAACGACCCCGGGACACGACCCGCCCCGCCTCCGTTATACTCACCACCTACTGTCCCTCCGGCGGCGTCATGCAGGAATTCCAGGGTCTCACTGGTCGGGTGTCCAGGGCTAGAGCCTTCTTCGAATCCACGACTTCGCAGCCTGAAGAGCCGGAGTCGCCCTTACAATCCCCTCAGGAGGACATAAGCGCTACTGCTGTAACCTACCGCTACAAGAACCCACACAGAGCCTCGCCAAGGCCCCGTGGGCATCGCTACCGTAACACCATCAGCACTTTTCCACGGTGGGCTCCGTCTGGGCAGCACCCAGCCATCGACGACGCTGGCCACGCCCAACTCACCTCACCCGATCTTGACGACCAAGGTAACATCAGGAAACCTCAACGCACTAAAGATGACACTGATATAGTCGAAATAAAGCCTGTGATGATCCGCAGGCGTTTCGGAACAATCACCGGGATTATCACCAGCCTCTCCACCCATGACAAGGAACCTTATCCCTCGAAGAAGAACGAAGAAAGCAGTAGCAGTGAAGGTACTAGTGGTGAGGGAGATATAGCGGTTAGTAGCAGTGCTGGTTTTGTGGACGAAGTGGTGGTCAGCAGCATCAGCACGGATAGTGGTGGTGAGGGAGCAGGTGTGGTCACCGCAGGTAGTAGTGGTGGTGAGGGAGCAGGTGTGGTCAGCACAGGTAGTAGTGGTGGTGAGGGAGCAGGTGTAGTGAGCACAGGATAATAGTGGTGGTGAGGGAGCAGGTGTGGTCAACACAGGTAATAGTGGTGGTGAGGGAGCAGGTGTGGGTGAGAGTGTGGGCGCGGGAGTCAGTAAGGGCTGGGACGCCGTGTGGTGCGCACCTTTCTACAGTCCACCTCCTTCGTGCCTGTGTGAGCACGCGACCCTCGTCTCTAAGGGCGTTGTTGCTAGTGAGAGCCAAGACAGTGCCGCAGGGGGCCATGATCAGGGCCCTAGGACCATGGTAGTGCCAGAGGACGGGCAGGTGCAGGCAGCGCCACGCGTGGTAGCTGCCTGCATCAAGTCCTATCACGACATCCCTGAGGAGTTGTTCAACAGTTTAGAGGAGAGTTCCGTGGACCCTATCACTCCTGGACTCGCCTCCACGACGCCCACACACTCACCCGCCCACACCGCCCTCTCCCCGCCCACCAACACCCTCACGCCCGCCCCCTCACCGCCCTCTATCACCAACACCCTGCCGCCCACGCCAGCTCCTCGCAGCGACTGGCGCGCCATGAGAGAGGGCCGTCGGGCCCTCCTGATGGGGGAAGTCAGCGACGCTGACACAGAAGGCAGCGAAGGTGATCTCGGCGGCGTCGCGTCCACAAGCGACTACCACACCAGCGATGGTCGTGGCTCCTCCCTCTCAGGGGCCAGTGACGACCACCACAGAAACAACGACCACCGCCACGACGACCACAAGAACCACAACCACGGTAAGTAACCCAAGTATAAACGGTAGGGACTCCAGTGCTCTGCCTTGAGGCACCCCTCTCGCTACCCTCGCCCGGGAAATGAACCAATGCCTGAAAGATGCACTAGTTCATTACTCGTGCATCTTCCAAGCATTTCCTGAACCTCTGGATTGTGAATGTAACAATAAAATTATATTTTCATATGTAATTCTATAATTCCAGGACCACAAAGGAAATAACTCGCATTTTTTTTACTCCATTCGTAAAAAAAAATTACGTACGAAGATAGTAAATTTCGAAATTAAGTTCTAAATCTAAATTAAAACTTAGATTACATTTTATAAAGTGCCGTACCCGTACTGGCCAGTCAGCGCAAGGGACGGTGAAGGTTCGATTCTCCGTCCACTAATCGTGGTCCTTGTCCCTGATCAGTCAGGAAATTCTTGTTTGTTCTAGTTCCTACATTGATTAGTCCTCCCTCCCTCCCTCTCTACTCTCCATCCTTATGGGACACAGGAAGGGGTTAGGGATGGGCTCAATGCTCCATCATTGTGCATGGTTGAGCATGTGGGCCTGCCCTTCCGCCCCGCATTGTGTGATGATTTGCGCATCGAAATACGATCATACGGTGGGTTGCGTGGGTTTGTGGTAATGGGTGTTATATATGACCCACGGCGACACCCATTGCGGTGTTGACTCTGATGGAGATACACAAGGCAATGTCCAGTTGTGGACCAGCCAGGCGCATGTCCAGTGGTGACCTTCCGAGGTGCGTGTCCAGCTGTGAGCCTGTGATGTACAGGATCACTGGGGACCTTGCAATGTACAGGGTCAGTGGTGACCCTGCAGTGTACAACTGTCGCTACGGTGAGTCTGAGGACAATAGGTTACGGGATATGGGTCTGTGTGTGTGTGTGTGTGTGTGTGTGTGTGTGTGTGTGTGTTGTGTGTGTGTGTGTGTGTGTGTGTGTGTGTGTGTGTGTGTGTGTGTGAAAACCATGCAGGATGCTTAATGTAGTTTGTGTATGCAGTTTCTACAAACCAGTAGGCCTTCCGCAGTGGACCTGTCTCGCATGGACCAGTAGGCTTCTGCAGTGTTCCTTCATTCTTATGTTCATATGTAATGTGGGGCAGTGGGCCTCCAGCAGCAACAGCCTGGTTGACTAGGCTAGCACAAGACAAGCCTGGCCCAAGGCCGGGTTCCGAGAGTAGTAAGACTCTCGAAACTAATCAAAGGTATATCAAAGATGTTATACTTAGACCCTTCAAGAGCATTTTGACCCAATATGTGTTATTTGATCTATTATTTGTAAGCGGTTCTAGAGATTATCTTCCCCAGGACTCTGCCTCTGACCAGGTCTTCCAGGGATTATCTTCCCCAGGACTCTGCTTCAGACCAGGTCTTCCAGGGATTATCTTCCCCAGGACTCTGCCTCAGACCAGGTCTTCCAGGGATTATCTTCCCCAGGACTCTGCCCCAGACCAGGTCTTCCCGGGAATTTTCTCCCCAGGACTCTGCCTCAGGCCAGGTCTTCCAGGGATTATCTTCCCCAGGACTCTGCCTCAGGCCAGGTCTTCCAGGGATTATCTTCCCCAGGACTCTGCCTCAGGCCAGGTCTTCCAGGGATTATCTTCCCCAGGACTCTGCCTCAGGCCAGGTCTTCCAGGGATTATCTTCCCCAGGACTCTGCCTCAGGCCAGGTCTTCCAGGGATTATCTTCCCCAGGACTCTGCCTCAGACCAGGTCTTCCAGGGATTATCTTCCCCAGGACTCTGCCTCAGACCAGGTCTTCCAGGGATTATCTTCCCCAGGACTCTGCCTCAGACCAGGTCTTCCAGGATTATCTTCCCCAGGACTCTGCCTCAGCCAGGTCTTCCAGGGATTATCTTCCCAGGACTCTGCCTCAGACCAGGTCTTCCAGGGATTATCTTCCCCAGGACTCTGCCTCAAACCAGGTCTTCCAGGGATTATCTTCCCCAGGACTCTGCCTCAGACCAGGTCTTCCAGGGATTATCTTCCCCAGGACTCTGCCTCAGACCAGGTCTTCCAGGGATTATCTTCCCCAGGACTCCTGCCCAGACCAGGGCTTCCAGGATTATCTTCCCCAGGACTCTGCCTCAGGCCAGGTCTTCCAGGGATTATCTTCCCCAGGACTCTGCCTCAGGCCAGGTCTTCCAGGGATTATCTTCCCCAGGACTCTGCCTCAGACCAGGTCTTCCAGGGATTATCTTCAACAGGACTCTGCCTCAGACCAGGTCTTCCAGGGATTATCTTCCCCAGGACTCTGCCTCAGACCAAGTCTTCCAGGGATTATCTTCCCTAGGACTCGCCTCAGACAGGTCTTCCAGGGATTATCTTCCCCAGGACTCTGCCTCAGACCAGGTCTTCCAGGGATTATCTTCCCCAGGACTCTGCCTCAGACCAGGTCTTCCAGGGATTATCTTCTCCAGGACTCTGTCCCCAGGCCAGGTCTTCCAGGATTATCTTCCCCAGGACTCTGCCCTCAGCCAGGTCTTCCAGGGATTATCTTCCCCAGGACTCTGCCTCAGACCAGGTCTTCCAGGGATTATCTTCCCCAGGACTCTGCCTCAGACCAGGTCTTCCAGGGATTATCTTCCCCAGGACTCTGCCTCAGACCAGGTCTTCCAGGGATTATCTTCCCCAGGACTCTGCCTCAGCCAGTCTTCCAGGGATTATCTTCCCCAGGACTCTGCCTCAGGCCAGGTCTTCCAGGGATTATCTTCTCCAGGACTCTGCCTCAGGCCAGGTCTTCCAGGGATTATCTTCCCCAGGACTCTGCCTCAGACCAGGTCTTCCAGGATTATCTTCCACAGACTCTGCCTCAGACCAGGTCTTCCAGGGATTATCTTCCCCAGGACTCTGCCTCAGACCAAGTCTTCCAGGGATTATCTTCCCTAGGACTCTGCCTCAGAATAGGTCTTCCAGGGATTATCTTCCCCAGGACTCTGCCTCAGACCAGGTCTTCCAGGGATTATCTTCCCCAGGACTCTGCCTCAGACCAGGTCTTCCAGGGATTATCTTCCCCAGGACTCTGTCTCAGGCCAGGTCTTCCAGGGATTATCTTCCCCAGGACTCTGCCTCAGACCAGGTCTTCCAGGGATTATCTTCCCCAGGACTCTGATTCAGGCCAGGTCTTCCAGGGATTATCTTCCCCAGGACTCTGCCTCAGACCAGGTCTTCCAGGGATTATCTTCCCCAGGATTCTGCCTCAGACCAGGTCTTCCAGGGATTATCTTCCCCAGGACTCTGCCTCAGACCAGGTCTTCCAGGGATTATCTTCCCCAGGACTCTGCCTCAGGCCAGGTCTTCCAGGGATTATCTTCCCCAGGACTCTGCCTCAGGCCAGGTCTTCCAGGGATTATCTTCCCTAGGACTCTGCCTCAGACCAGGTCTTCCAGGGATTATCTTCCCCAGGACTCTGCCTCCATGGCCAGGTTTTCCAGGGATTATCTTCCCCAGGACTCTGCCTCAGATCAGGTCTTCCAGGGATTATCTTCCCCAGGACTCTGCCTCAGACCAGGTCTTCCAGGGATTATCTTCCCCAGGACTCTGCCTCAGCCCAGGTTTTCCAGGGATTATCTTCCTCAGGACTGCCTCAAACCAGGTCTTCCAGGGATTATCTTCCCCAGGACTCTGCCTCATGCCAGGTTTTCCATGGATTATCTTCCCCAGGACTCTGCCTCAGGCCAGGTCTTCCATGGATTATCTTCCCCAGGACTCTGCCTCAGGCCAGGTTTTCCAGGGATTATCTTCCCCAGGACTCTGCCTCAGGCCAGGTCTTCCAGGGATTATCTTCCCCAGGACTCTGCCTCAGACCAGGTCTTCCAGGGATTATCTTCCCCAGGACTCTGCCTCAGGCCAGGTCTTCCAGGTTAGAAAGGAAGTATTTACAGAATTAAGAACTAAGCACATAGGAAAGTGAAAGTGTGTATGTGTACTGAGGAAGATTTATCCGTAACTTTACGTGTTCGTGAGACAGAAAGACGGTACCTATCATTTCACGTGTTCGTGAGATTTACCTGTCATCTCATGTATTCACAGTAAGCTTTAACTGTCATCCAACGTGGTCACGAGACTAAATATTTACCTGTCATCTTACGTATACAGAATGAAAAGATCAACAATCTTGCCAGAGTGCTAAAAAAATATATATATATAACGGGTTTCCATTTTACAGTCATGTGCCTGGAAGGAAATACATGCCTCCTCGGTGGCTGGTGTCTACCCCGTAATAACCTAGGTATATTTATCAGTTTATAGATGCTGAGAATTTACTGTAATCCCTATTAAGAGGTATCCTTGACTGGTGGTGCACAGGTTACAGGCTAACTTAATGACCTTCATGTAGTCGAAAGGCTTTAAACCCAATTAACCAGTGCTTGAGTTCCTAGTATCGTTTCAGGGACATTGCTAGGAACTAACACTACTAGGGGTGTAGAACGCAGCAACGGAACGCCAGCAAATGCTAAACTAGCTACCAGTTATCACCTGAGGAAGCTCCTACACCAGGAGAAGACACTGGTCCCTGTTTCCTGACATCACCTGCTGAAATGTCAGTCACTTCTGCACAACTGATGTCACCATGCATTTGAGGGATGTATGTGTCATTCCCTACCTCATGACCTCAAAATGTTTTGCATAACCTTACTGCTATGTCATTCCCACAACATAAATATTAAACTCAACTACTGAAGCCTACAGCGTTGGCTAACCAGATTACGATATTTATGTGTATGTGTGTGTGTGTGTGTGTGTGTGTGTGTGTGTGTGTGTGTGTGTGTGTGTGTGTGTGTGTGTGTGTGTGTGTGTGTGTGTGTGTGTGTGTGTGTATTCTACCTGAAGGACCAACCACTGTATCAATATTCCTGGAGTTTTCTTCAAGTCTACCCACTTTGTGAATAAAAGTCTACCAGCTGGTAGACTTTCTTGCTGCAACTGGCTTTACGTCTCATCCTGATGTTTCCCTTGAGGCAGATGAAGGGCATACTACTGTTGCTAC